AAAAAAAAAAAAAAAAAGAGTCCAACTCTTGATTTCAGCTCAGGTCCTGATCTCATGGTCATGCGATCGAGCCATGTGTTGGGCTCCACGCTCAGCGCAGGGTCTGCCTGAGTCTCTCTCCCTCTGCCCCTCTCCCTGCTCCTCAAATAAATAAATAAATAAATCTTTAAAATATGCCCCAAATATGCCTGAATTTCAGGATCACACTTTTTTCTCTTGTGCAACCCTTGATTCACAGCCCTTAAATAATATACAGTCACAGAGCCTCTGAACTTGTAAAAGTGACCACAGATCATCTAGTCACGAGGTTTAAAAAAGAAAAAAAAGTTCTTTTTCTATCTCTGAACCTCTCTTTGACAGAAAGGTTACCTGTTAAATCTAATATGTAAAATGGATATGTAAGAAGGATTCCGACTTATGCTTTTTAAGAAAAACACAGCAGACAACTCTCCAGCTTTCTGCAATACATAAAGAATCAAACCCACAAAACCAAAACTTTAAAACTGACCTAACCTAACACAATTATTGGATAAGTAAGAACTGAAGACCAGAAAACTTAAATGACTTGCCCAAGATCAGGCACTCTAGTCAATGGCAGGGCCATAACAGAACAGTTAACTCCTAATCCAATCCAATCCAAGCGTTCTTTGAAAGCACCAAGTTAGGTTCATACGTAAGATTTTTGTTTACAGTCATAATATAAATACATTTTACTTCACGAACTTGCTGCTCTTCACTATTTGCTAAAGTATTTAGTGCTCTGCCTTGAGCAATAAGATGTGTAAACACATTGATGATAAATGGTAAGGAAAATGTATGTGCTTTCTGAAGAGATATTTTAAAAGTCTGTTTCCATAGGGCACAACTTTAAAGTAGGTAATGTCTAGATTAATTATATTTTAATTAGGGCAGGCATAATCATAATTGGTCCTATTAATAACACAAAATGGCTAGCATTCATTGAGCATTTACCGTATGTTATACAATTTACAAAACCCTTAAATTCATTTAAGCCCTACAATTCCTCATTTCAAAGTCAAGAACAATGAAGTACAGTGCTAGAATTTGATCACAAAACCCAACTCTTAACAGCTATTCCCAAAACCCCAAAACAGTGGCCTACACACTGCTTTTTGTTATTTCTAAATTAATTGCCAAGATTAAAACTATATGCTCTTTAAAAAAATCCAGACAGATACCATTTTGTGAAGTTCAAATTCAGGCAAAACTAATCTGTAGTGTTAGAATTCAAGAATGAGAAGAAAGTGTGGCAGGGGATGGAGGGGGGGAAATCTTGATCTACATGTTGGTTAAAACAATGTATACACAAATGATTTGTCTACATTTCTACAGGCATGTCATACTTCAATTAAAAAGTATACTTTTAAGAAAAATTCTCTATGTTCTCTGAGGCCTCACCATGTGCTAGTTATCTTAAAGCTACTACCTACCTCTCTCATTATCTGCCTGGTCCCTATGGACTACTGAGCCTGCTATCTCTGTAATTCAGTCTGCAGCAATGGTGCATCATATAATTAATAACATATGTACACATATATACGTATATATACTTATACATACATACATATGTGTGTTTATGTGTGTGTATATATATATATGATGTGTTATCTGAACAAGCTACCATAACCATTAGAACTCAACATCCTAATATACACTAACATTCTTCCCGGATGGTAACACCTAACCAACTACAAATAGGACCTACTTTAACAAAACTGAATATATGGTAAATACATCTATAAAAATGATACATTCACAAATTAAAGATAAAAATCATACTCCATATAATTTCACTTATATGTGGAATCTAAACAAATGCACAAATGAAAAAACCAGAAACAGACTCATAAATACAGAAAACAAACTGGTGGTGGTGGGGTGGGGATTGGTGAAGGGATCAAGAGGTACAAACTTCCAGTTATAAAAAAAGTCATGGGGATGAAAAGTACAGCATATGGAATATGGTCAATAATACTGTAATAACTGTGTATGGTAAAAGATGGTAACTACACTTATGCTGAGCATTTCGTAAACTATGTAACTTAAATCACTATGTTGTACCCTGTAACAAAATATTGTATGCCAAGTATACTTCAATTAAAAAACAATCATTCATACTAAGTTTTATGGGGAAGAAAATGTATATTCTTTCAGCATTGGGGCTTACCCACCAGTGATAACAACAAAACTGGCATTGCTTATTAATCAATCACTAAATGTATCTGAGTTTACTTAAAATGAGTAACAGTCTGGAAATAACAGTTACAAAAACATGTTACCACAGTATATAATTCACATATATAATTTCATTCTCTAAACAATAGTTAGGTTACATGTTACTATTTCCATTTTACAGGTAGAGAAAAGAATATCAGAGAGTGAACTGAACTGTCCTAAGTTATAAGATTAGTTTGCAAGCAGCTCTAACTAACTTTTTAGTTAGATACTTATTTAAAAATGTCAGGCTCTATGCAATATAGAGATGAACCTGCATTTCCTTTCTACTTAGGCTGAGAAGAACAAGAACAGCACTTTATAACCCAAACTGCATTCAGCAATGGGACCTTAAGTTATTTAACCTGTGATTCAACATCGTCATTTGTAAAATGTGGATAATTTCAAAGATTATTTTGAGGATTGAATAAGTCAATATGAATGTTTAAACAAGTCTCTTACAAAAGTAAGTAATATGTAAATGTTGACTGTTTTAATTGTTAAAAAAAATTAAATACCAGAGAAGGGTGCCAAGACCATTCACTGGGGAAAAGACAGTTTTTTCAACAAATGGTGCTGGGAAAACTGGATATCAACATACAAAAGAATGAAGGTGGACCTTTACACCATATACAAAAATTAACTCAAAATGGGTAAAAGACCTAAATTTGAAAGTTAAAATTACAAAATTATTTGATGAAAACATAGGGGTTAACTTTTCATGACACTGGATTTGACAACAATTTCTGGGAAATGACACTAAAAGCACCAACAACAAAAGATAAATTGGACTTCACCAAAATTTAAAGACTTGAGCATCAAAGAACACTATCGAGGAAGTGAAAGGCAACCAATGGGAGAAAATATAAATCATGTATCAGATAAGGAATACCCAAAATATATAAAGAACTCCTACAATTCAGTAACAAAAAACAAGTCATTCAAAATGAGCAAAGGACTTGAACAGACATTTCTCCAAGGAAGATAAATGACCAATAAGCACAAGAAAATATGCCCAACTTCATTAGTCATTAAGGAAATGCAAACCAAAACCACCAGACCACTTCAGACCCATTTAGGATGGCTATTAAAATATAAAAAATGTTGGCAGGTATGTGGAAAATTAGAACTCTCCTGCACTGCCGGTGGGAATGCAAAATGGTGCAACCACATTCCACTCCCAGGTATATACCCGAAAGAACTGAAAGCAGGGACTCAAAGAAATCCTTGCACACCAATGCTGATAGCAGTATTACTCAAAATAGCTACAAGGTGGAAACAACTCAAATGTCCATCAACAGATGAATAAGCACTATATGGTGTATACATACAATGAAATATTATTTAGCTTGAAAAAGGAAATTCTGACACATGCTGCAACATGGATGAACCTTGAAAACATTATGCTAAGTGAAATAAGCCAGAAACCAAAGGACAAATATTACATAATTCCACTTAAATGAGGTACCAAGATTAGGCAAATTAATTCATAAAGACAAAAAGAAGTTACCAGGGGTGGGAGGTTGGGGGGTACTGGGAGTTCTTGTTTAATGGGTAATTACTGGTTAATGCTTTTACCTGAGATAATGAAAAAATTCTAGGAAATAGTGGTGATGGTGGTACAACATTGTGAATGTACTTAATGCCACTGAATTATACATTTAAAAATGGCTAAAATGATAAATTTCATGTTACATATATTTTACTACAATTAAAAAACTGAGTGCTCGCTTTGGCAGCACATATTACTAAAATTGGAACGATACAGAGATGAGCATGGCCCCAGTGCAAGGATGACATGCAAATTCATGAAGCGTTCCATATTTAAAAAGAAAAAAAAAAAAACCTGAAAATACTGGAGAGCCACTGAAGATCCTTCAACAGTGACAATCTGCATAACATTTTATTAAAATTAATAGACAGGTTAGGTATAACATTGAAGTGGAAAAAAAGGAGTAAGACTCAAAGTAGGGTTGGAAAGGAAACAGCTGCTGGAGAAAATCATGTTCTTGGCCTAAAATGGGACATTAACTTTGATCTAAGAGGTTTCCTACATGGTCTTCTGGATATAGTTGTTTGAGGGTCTAATACTAATACCCAGTTACCCCAGAGGGGTCACACTGACATAGTTTGTGTAGGAATACTAATGGCCAAAATGTTAAAGAACTTCAAGGTAAATATAATCTTATCAGATTTATAAATGTTAGCTATAAATATGCTTTTGAACTTAAAAGTTCTCTAAATTCATTTTCTTTGTGCTGTTTTTCCAAAAAAAATTAAATTTTCATTGCATCAAAATACCTTTTTAAAAGTAAACAACACAGTGCTTTACCAATCAATGTCTGCAGTTGTTTATGGTTAAATGTTGCCTCATTGTTAATGGAAGTGTTTCCTTAATAGCAAAGTTTCCCTACTTTTCTCACTTCAATTAATAAATTATTTATCACTGTCATCTGTGCTGCTATGGTAAGGGAAAAGAGTATTTTATTGGGGGACGAAAGTCTATACACTCCTACAAATTAGAATTAGAAAAGTGAATTAAAAATGAGATTCATTGTTAAAATCATCTCTTTTCCAACTTTGGCCTAGGTACTTAACAAATGTACAGGTATCCCTCCATATTAAAAATATCGACATCACAAAACTGCTAAATGTGGGAGGGCACATTTATAGAATTTTGACATTCCTTTTAGACATATCCTTATAATGAAATTTTTATCTTCTTCAATTTAGTAAATATGAAAGTCCACATGTCAAATGGGTACTCTATGCCACCCTAGAAAATCCAATATACTGTCCCTTTTCAATTCTGTATAAAAGAGGTTGGTGCAGGATTAAGTCCTTAATTGTTTTTTATCTTATCTGCATCCCCCAAGCACTAAAACTATCTAATCCTAATGCCACCACTTATACACTCAACATTTATTGAATCACATTCAGGAGCCATTAATCACTTATTACCCTGATTAAAAATACTGCCTTATGTTTATATAGTTACCTAGACAATTAAATGTGTTACATAAATAGTGATACCTGTAGTAGATTTCTCCAGGTTAGTTTAAATGTAAATAACTCCGGGGGTCAAGATAAATCAAATGGAGACCTTTAATCCTTCTAAGTTAGAAGATACTGACATACACAAGGGAAGGTCAATAAATACACACAGTCGCTGAAATCTTGGTTCTGAAGGCCTAGTTCCAACATGTCACTCTTACAGAGGTACACTGCACACTCAAAATAGAAAATCCACCAGCTCTGCGACCAATAAATTATGTTGAGATTTACCAAAGTCAGTTAAGCATCGTTCAAGATCTCTGTCCTCTTAAACCATCAAGTCAAAAATGGAGTCTATTTGGCCAAACCCAGATGTTTGGATATCTATATTGTATATATACTCACTCTTCATTTCTGTGATCAGATGCAGTCGCACACATAACGGAGCCTAAGTTACAAAGTTACTAACCAAACGAATAACAAAACCATTAAGAAAATTAAAAAGCACTCGGACCCAACATTAATTTAAATTGCATTAAATGAGCCTCGGGACTAAGCACTACGTGGATTAGTTGAATAGTCCCAACTGAATTTCCTAAAGGTCTTACAGAAATGCAGGTGGTGAAGAAAGCCAAAGTGTTCGGTAAATGAAGATTTCAGGGTTTCTAAAATGCAAGTGACAGCTGGCTCCCCGAAACGAATGGGACGGGTGAAAGCAGGGGCGGCTGTAGGAAGACTCCAACAGACTAGAAGGAAGAGAAGTGGGCCACCCCCAAGTCCAGAGCTCGTCCGAGGATGCAGAAGGGACGGGAGGCGATCTCCTAGGCTAGGAAACGCGGATGGCCAGGCCTTCGTGACCTCCAGAGACTCCCTCGTGCACCACCGGGGGCTCACACCCAAGAGCGGAGGCCTAACTGGGCAGCGGCCTGGGGCTGCGGCCAGCGCCGGACGTTCCGCAGCAAGAGATCGCAAGGGAGTCGGGACCCGGAAAAAGTGAAGGGAAAGCAGGGACTGACAGACAGCGCCCGCAGGGCTCGCGCCTGGCCTCACCCTCGCATGGTGAACTTGACCACGGCGAGTCTGGAGCCCGCGCCGCTCAGCTCCGGCTGGAAATCTGGGTCGCTCCCGACCGGCTTCACTCCCACCATTCTCAGCCCGGCAGGGCGGCCGCGACGCCACCGGCTTCAAAACTGAAGAAGACTCGGGAGAGGAAGGGGAGAGGCTCGGAAAGGCCAAGGCCTGAACACAGGAGGTACCGACCGCAGCGTCTTCTCCGGGACTCTCAGTGCCGAGTCACGCCAGGGAGCCGAGCGGCCGAGGGGGTGGGGACGGGAGGGGGGAGGGGAAGGGAGAGGCGAGGGAAGGAAAGGCGTGCGGCACCCAGCAGCCACTGCGCGACAGGGCCGCCGGCGCTTGCGTACGTTAGCGTCATTTCCGCGTCGTCCGTTTTGGCTCCCACCACCCAATCCTAAAACGCGACCCCTGGCTCCACCCTCGACTGAGGAGCCCCCCCCTCCGGCTGGAGCGGCGCAGGCGCGGAAGAGTAGAAGTCACAAGCTCAGACGTGAGTGCGTTTCAGGAGTTCGTGTGTTCCTCCGCCGTTCCAAGATTCGCGGCTTCTACCGAGTTTTCTGGGGTGGGAAAGTAAAAAGGAGATCCGTTTTTCCCCGAGGCTTGTGGCTAAGGTTTTTACCCCAGTGCTGTAAGAATTACTTTGTCTCATATTCGGGGCAGATCGCCACGCTAGACAAAAAGAGACTTTAGGTACATTGATTTACGGATCTCTTGATAAAAGGGTGCTCTCTCTCTGCATTCATCCAGAAAATATCATGCACCTGTTTTTAAGTTGTGCCTGAAAAAAAATGAAAGCACCATCCTTCCTTTAGAAACACAGTCTAGTGATAGACGTCAGCAATAGAATAACAAGTATGCAAAGGAAACGGTGGGGACAAATGAGACAGGAGGATGGGGCAGGGTAAACTTGCTAGAAATTGTGGCCCCTGAGCTGGATCTTGACAGAAGAAGAGAGCCAAATGGTGAGAGGTGACAGGAGTATTACAGGCAGAAGAACCAGCAGTACCGATTCGTGGTTGGGGAGGGCTGATGATAATAATAATAATAATAGTTAATAAATTATGCGATAGACAAGATACATGCTCTTTGTGTATATTAGCTCGTTTAATCCTCACAACAACCCTGTAAAGTAGGTTCTGTTATTTCACGGTTAGACGAATTTTCCCTAGTTCACACACCTAGTAAGAAATCAAATCAGCATTCAAGTTGAGGTAGTCTAACACCAGTGTGTTCTTTTAAAAAGTCAGGCTACGTGACAAATGATTTGCTTTTGGATTTAGCTGGGGTGATGAAACTGAAGAGGAAGATAGAGGTCTGATCAGGACTAGCTTAAGAAATTTGTATTTTAACATGAATGCAATGGAGTAATCACTGTAGGGCAATTTTTTTTTTTTTTTAATTACAAGAAAGTGTCTTTAGAGAAAGCCCTGAGGTAGCAGTGAGGAGGCTGGAAGGCAGTAAGACAAGTTTAGGTTACTGTAGTAATCCAGAAAGTGAGTTATGGGAGCAGCTGAAGTGGAAATGAAGAGGACATGATTATTTGAGAAACAATTAGCAGCTAAAAATCACAGGATTTAGTGACCAATTGGACCAATTTAGAGCAATGACAGATGAAGGAGTCTAGGATAGTGAAATATTTCAATCTCGTGGCTTTTTGTACTGAGTTAAAATGCCAGTAGGACATCTAGGTAAGGAGTATAGCGATAGTAGGAAGGTTGAGTCTGGAACAAAAGAAAAAGGAGTAGGCTAAAGTTGCAGATTTGAGAGTCATTAGTTTTAAGGGTGAAAATTGAAGCCCAGGAACACAAACAATTTGAAGGCCAGATGGCAATTGTTGTCCCCATTCTACTGATGATGAGGCTCACTTTCAAGAAGTGTGTAACTCATTCAGTTATACAATTGTACAGCTGCTTAGCCCTCAACATTGTACCCAACATTATATTGAAACAGACTTTATATATGTGCACAGAAATTTTTAGCAGGTGTTATTGCAAGGTGATTCTCTACTGAGTGTTTTTTCCTCTATAGTTTACAAATCTCTTCAATAATTATAAATAGTATGTATAATAAGAAGAAAGAAAGAAGGTGCAGCTGGGGGAAAAAGTGCTATACAAAAATTCTACAAAGGCCCAAGTTTCTTCCTTACCCTATTAGTAGTAACTAAAACAATAATATTCACAGTTAATTGGTCTCCTATGAAATTTAGGTAATGTTTAATATCATTAAGTAAAATAAGCTTTTGTTAGATGAAATTTTCCCCCCAAATGTTATTTTTAAAATTTGTTTATACCACCCTGAAAACCCCATTTACTAGAATTTTCATGAAAATTTTAGAAAAACTTACCATTAAACTTCTGCAAGGATGACTTGTGATTATTTTTAAAAGGATGATACACTTCCTCCATTCCTGAGATGAACATATTCAGAAATGCAGAATACACTGCACATTAACTCCCTCCACACCGTCCCTCACTTGGTGGGCATCACTCTTAGAGGACACGGTTTCCCAGGGTCTATTTAGCCTCAGCCTCGGAATTCTATTCAGCTCCACCCACTACCAGAATCAGCAGTCAGGATGAAACCTATTTGCCATCTCACGTCTTACTATAACTGTTACGTCCTGAAATCCGTAGATCTCGAACTGCAGTGAGCTCATTAAAATGTGGGTTTCCGGTGTCACACCCAGAAATTCTGATTCAGTAGTCCTAATGAATGGCCCAAGAATCTGATTTTTAACAAGCATCCAGAGTAGCTGATGCAAGGAGTCCATATTTTGAGAACGATTATTTGCTCCTACTTGTCTACTGTCACATAGCATTTAGAATGCATTTAATATGTACAAGGTACTGTGATAATGCTTTGAAACACCTTTCTTCCAGGGACATCAAAAGGGAGATAAGACACTTCTACAAAAGCTAATAATACAAGGTAAAATGTGGTAAGTGCCATAGTAGAACTATAGATAACATACCATAGTGGTTGAGAAAAAGAAGAGAACATTTCCAGGTGGAATGAGCAGAGAATGCTTTATGAAGTAATATGTTCTTTTTTTTTTAGATCTTATTTATTTATTTGAGAGAGAGAGAATGAGAGACAGAGAGCATGAGAGGGAGGAAGGCCAGAGGGAGAAGCAGACTCCCTGCTGAGCGGGGAGC